AAGCAGGTTTTTTTTCTTTTTTAAGTCACAGCAAGTGATGCACGGGGTTATTCCTGGCTCTGCACTCAGGAATTACTCCTGGCGGTGCTCGGGGGGACCATATGGAATGCTGGGAATCGAACCTGGGTCAGCCGCATGCAAGGCAAACACCTTACCCACTATACTATCGCTCCAACCGAAAGCAGCTCTTCTTAGGTTAAAATCACTCAGAGTAGCTTAGAGACAGACCTTTAGCCAAAGGTCTATAACTTACTACCAGTAGGACTCTTTATCCAGCGACATTTTTGCATTTGTGTGACTTAAATCAATAGATGTCATCAATATGTGCCCTGCCTTGACAATATCTGGCACTTGTTATCACTGTAAGGCACATTTCATAGTTAAAGAAACAAATCAACAAAAAATCCTGAGTAATCTCACAGGATGTTTCACAAAATATAGGGAAGTCCAAGAAATCGTTTTGGTGGTGAGGGACAGCCTCCAGGCTCACCAGAACAGTGCAAATTATTTTCCTTTTCAATGATTTCTGTACTGTTTTACGTTAGTGGCCAGCATGTCTGTTTTCAGATGTAAAACCAATTGTTTTTCAAATCAGCAGTTCTTGAAGTGTGAAAATAAGCCATTCTCCAGGAAAATACAGGTTGATCTGATGTGTTTCTCTCTTCATGATTCACAGGTGTATTTTTCCCTCAATCATTCAGAACTATGAATGGCATGTGAAAGAATTTAGCATAATCGGGTATAATACGTGATTGCATGGAGCACAGCAGCTGTTAGGAGTTTTCTGGAGTTACAATTGGAAGCCACAAGCCATAATGCCCCTTTTTCAGATCAAGAAAAAGAAAAATAATGTCAACCTATTTTGTCTAGAGAGCATTAAGTGGTTATCAGTGTGACTGAAAAGCTCTTTATGTATGTGAGAACATGTGTGTGTGTGTGTGTGTGAGACAAATGCCCACCACCTACCTACCATGGCACCAATAAACATGTTTTTGTCTATGGGAGGAATGTATTTTTCAAGTGACTCTGTCACACTGAAGCACATAACTATTATAAAATTTGAATGGTTAGAAATAGCTCTGTCTCTTTTTCTTTATTTCCTTTCCATCTATATTTTATGTGTTAGTGAAAAAGTTCCTAGAGAATTTATTGAAAAGCTCCCTTAGGAGTCACTTATTGAGAGCTTTTTTTTAATATATTAAGAGAATTTATATATCATAGATTTATCTATTTGAAGCGTCTAGTTCAATGTTCCTTTTGATATATTTTAAAATTTACCAGAATCAGAGCTGGAGAGGTAATACAGTGGGTAGTGTATTTGCCTTGCATGTAGCCAACCTGGGTTGGATTCCCAGAATCCTATATGGTCCCCCAAGCACTGCCAGGCTCTGAGCATAGAGCCAGAATTGGTGATTCCTGAGAACAGTGACCCCTAAGGATAGTGCTCTCTGAGCATCACTGGGTGTGAAGCCCTGCAAAAAAAATTTACCAAAATCAATTGCAAAATATTTTCATCATCCTCCAAATACACCACTTACATATGAGCCCCAATGACTCCCACTCTCCCAAATCTTGGGAAAGACTTACCTACTTTATTTTTAAAGATTTGTCTATTTTCAACATCTCCTATGAAGGAACTAATAGACTAGATCATCTTTTGTGTCTGACTTTCTTCATTCACAAGATTTTCAAAGTTCCTCTAGAGCACATATCAACATAGCATTATCTTCACATAAAATAATATTTTTAGACATGCCTTAATTTCCAAAAGCACAGGTTCTTCTATTTTTGTTATGTTTTTGTGGTGCTGGGAACAAAACCTGGGGCCTCACACATAAAAGGTGAGTAGCCCTGCTACTGAACCACATCCCTAGCTACGATATTCTCTTGAATCGCACTTTATTATAACTGTATCTTTATTCATTTGTTTGTCAATTGAGAAACATTTGGATGAATGGACTGAGCTAAATATTTTTTCTTTGTAGAAAAAGACTATTAGAAATCTGACACTTGTATAGATTTTTATGATGGAAAAAAAAACAACATCTCTTTTTCATTCCAGGTCGAAATGGCACACCTGGTTATGAAGACCAGCATCCTGTTTATGTTTCTTTGGACACTGTCCTATGCTTATCCAGTAAGTAGAGAGATGGGGATATACAAAAAACAAACCCTAACAAAAGACCTAAAAATGAGACCTAAAATGTTACAATTTTCATTACTCAAAGCCAGGTAGTTGGGTATATGCCAGTCAAATGAAAATAGAAGTTGTTTAGGAATCCATTCTCTTTAAGACAGTATTAGAATTATTCCTTATGCAACTCGATTGTTGTTTATCGCGAGTCCCATTTTTAATTTCTCATCAGCAGAGGTTCTCAAGGCATCATTCCCAGGTTAGCTGCGTCAGCAACAACAAGGCCTTTATTAGAAATGTTAATTCTTGGGTCTTACTCGGGCACAGAAATCTGTGTTTGAACAAGGTCTCTGAATTATGCTAATGCACATTAAAACCTGACAACTGTTTCTCCTGAGTATTCGAAGTGTTAACAGCTGCTGCTTTAGATGTTTCCTGTGGGGTGACCATGTGTACTAAATTTTCTAGACAATCCATCAAGGTGATAACTGGAACAACTCTGAAGAATGGTTGGTGAGTAGAAAGAACATTTTAATATTTTGTTGTTGCAACCAAACTGACTGCATTGCAAATGTTTCTTGTAACTGACTCGATGAATATAATAGTAAATTGACATGTTGATATGTTTTGAGTTCCACACCATTTTACCTGTGTTACATTTCCTTTAAACACTATACAGTAAGTTCCAAAGCAAGCATATTCTTGTAAGAAAAGTACAAGAAATATAAAAGCATTTCAGGGATCTTAAGTCATAAGAGTTTTTCCAAATGCTAGTCATCTCACATCCATACATTTTTTATTTCGGAAAATTTGTAATTAAACATCTTTTAAGCACTAAAAATCACTAAATTCAATACTAAATTAATTTACTCTGACATAATTCACCTATGAAGAAGTAATGGGGTTTCCTTTTCTTTTTTTATAGAAGGAGTTTATGCGGACAACACCGACTCCAATGGTAACTGTCTCATTTTTGTCATAGACAACATCTTGGGAAGTAACTTTAACATTCAGCCCATAATCTTAGGCTATTTGAAAAATAGTAAATCTAAATCACAAGCAATTAATATGTATCATAGTTTTTCCTTCCTCAGGAATTACCAAAAGGAAAAACTAAACATTTTTTTTTCCCTTTTAGCCTACCACTGAATCAGAAGAAGAAAGCTCATCAGAGGTAACTAAACAAATCTTTCTAAAACTTTCATGCTGCGCAGAAATGGAAGGAAGTGGTGAGATTAAATTACCTGGAAACTACTTTAACTATGATTTTTGTAACCGCTGGTTATGCCCACTAAGTATCCCCATAAGAAGGGGCATTGTAGCACTGCCCTGTCCTCCAGTTGTTCATCGTTTTGCTCGAGTGGGCACCAGTAACGTCTCACAACAAATTGTGAAGCTTGTTGTTACTGTTTTTGGCATATCAAATACGTCATGGGTAGCTTGCCAGGCTTTGCCATGTGGGCGAGATACTCTTGGTAGCTTACCGGGCAGAGCGGGGGAGGAATCGAACTCGGATCGGCTGCATACAAGGCAAATGCCCTACCCGCTATGCTATCGCTCCAGCGCATAAGAAAGGGAAAATGGGAGAATTTAAATGTGGACATGCTGCTTATTCTATGTTTATTACTGTGGCCATATTATAGACGTTGTGGCACTAAATGTCATTGCTAGGTTTAAAACACACACAGACACATGGATACACACACAAGTGGCCATAGATCATGTTGGGCAAGTAGTAGTCCACTCAGCAGTCTTAAATGTTGCATTATGATGGGAAGAGTTCTGATTAAGAAAGTACAGGACTTGCATGGGCTCTCCCTGCCTGCGGGGCCTAAACTCCTCTACGTCATTCATCCTGCTGGTGGAGAGACCAGGAAAATTCAGAGGAGGCGTTTCTAATTAGAAAAAAAAATGCCCTTATAATGAATTTCTCTAAAATAGTTTCATCTGTGTTCTGAAAATGAGAAAAACTGACCGAGTTTGTGCCCCTTTACTTTATTTATTTTTATTATTATTTTTTTTATTAGTGAAACACCATGAGATACAGTTGTACACTTACAAGTTTTTGTGCTTGGAATTCAGTTATACAATGATCGAGCGCCCATCCCACCACCAGACCAGTGCCCATTCTCCACCCCTAAGAATCCCAGTATCCCTCCCACCCCCCCATCCCCCATCCCACCCTGCCTCTGTGGCAGGGCACTCCCTTTTGTTCTCTCCTTTTGGGTGCTGTGGTTTGTAGAAGAGGCCTTGGGTGGCAATCATGTTTGGTCTAGAGTCTACTTTCAGCATGCATCTCCCGTCCTGGGCAGATCTTCCTAGCACCCTTTATTTGGTGCTCCCTTCTCCATCTGAGCTGCCTTTACCCCTAGAGTGTGTGGCTGGCCTCGAAGCCATGGAGTGAACCTCCTGGTATTTATCACAGCTGTTCTTGGGTGTTAGTCTCTTATTTTGTTACTTTATGTTACCCAAATGAATGCGATCTTTCTATGTCTATCCCTCTCTTTCTGGCTCATTTCGCTTAGCATGATATTTTCCTGTGCCCCTTTACTTTAAGAGCGAACAATTCTCTACCAATTTCTGTCTGGAGCCGCGTTTACAATGTGACTTTAGTATTAAAATTGGGATTTTTTATAAATCTTTAAAAATGTTTTCAAGATTGAGTAAACAAAGACCACATAAATTGGGATGATGACATTTCAAATTCTTTTCCTTAGTTTCTAATCTCTGGCAGAGAGATTGTTGAGCAATTAAAAATGAGCCTGGCAGAGAAAAGACAAAGGAAGGACAAAGTGCAAAAGAGTCTCTGAATAACATCCTAATCCCAGTTCCTGGAGTTCCACTGACCATGTTTATTAAACCCTAAATGCAGGAAGAAGATGAAGATTCCGGAGAGGATCCCGAGTCCCTGGAAGGTCATGATGAGCATGAAATTATAAATGGACCCAACAGTGAAAAGAAATATGAGAAGGATGACGATGAAGATGACAGTGGAGATGATACCTTTGGTGATTTTGACGATGGCGCAAAACAGGAAGAAAACTCAGCTGACTCCAATCCCTCCGGGGAAGACAGTCACCAGGATGTCACCAGTGAGAGCAAAGGCTTTAACAAGGCAGCCAAGAAGCCTCAGGCGGGTGACCAGACAGAGGACAGTGACAGAGACAGTGTGGAACCATGGGGGACTGATGGCCTCCAGGTGAAGAGAAAATATGACAAACATGAGGACCTTGGCAATGAGGACACGGCCAGCAGCAATCCTCGGGAGGGTGACTCCACCCAAGACAGCGACAGTGTGGAGAGGTGGGGGAGGGTCGGCCCTATGCAGCTTAGAAGCTATGGGGATGAGGAGCAGGAGATGCTGAGTGATGACCCCAACAGCGTCGGGAGTGAGACAAGCAATTCCAGAATGGACAGCGCCAGTGTGGAATCAGAAGGGTCACAGGCAAGGAGCGATGAGCGTGCCAGCACCCAGGATTCGGGGGGGAGTCGGTCCGTGTCATATTCCAGCAGGAAGTTTCTGAGGAAATCTCGCATTTCTGCAGAAGATGTCAGAGGTGAACTGGACGACAGCAACACGATGGAACGCACCCAGAGTGACTCCACAGACAGCACCTACTCGACAGAGTCCAGCCCCAGCCGGTCCGGGGAGGACAGCCGGAGCGACTCTCAGGAATCCCCAGAAGACAGTCAGGACAGGCGAGATTCCAGCAGTGAGCCTGAGGAAGACAGCAGTGAGTCTGAGGGGGAGATGGCCAGCGAGTCCAGGGGTGACAACCCAGACAGCACGACAGTCCACTCAGACAGTCAGGGAGACAGTGACTCCAGCCAAGAGAACAGCTTTGACACCTCCTCCAACTCAGAAAGTGCCACCACAGAGGAGCAGGCTGACAGCGACTCCCAGGAAAGTTCCAGAGACTCCGAGCCAAGCTCAGAGTCCACAGGGGAGGAGGAGAACAGTTCTAGTCAGGAGGGCTTCCAGTCAGAAAGTGCCTCAGCAGCCAGTCCGAGCGAGGAAAGCCAGTCTGAGGACAGCGAGTCTCAGGACAGCAGCCACTCCAGGGACGACAGCAACTCGACCGAGAGCACGTCCAGCAGCGAGGAGGAGGCCAAGGCCAAGGCCGCCGAGAGAGAGAACAGAAAGCTAATGCTTGATGCTTACCACAACAAGCCCGTCTGGGATAAAGACGACAATGATTGCCAAGACGGCAACTAGCCTAGATTCTTCTAGACCCGGCACTCACGTCGAGGAGTCTTGGGGACAGGAGAGCAGGACATCAGAACTATAATTTATGGATGTTTTGGTAAGAAGGATGATCAGAGGCAGTTTCTTTTTGAACGCAAATGCTGGACATTCTATGTCTTTCTAGGGCACGGCTGCTCGTGGAGGTTTAAATAACAAGGAGCCGTTCCAGAATATACTCAGTAGGAATAGACTCCAGGAAAAACGTGCATGATAGCTAAAAGTTCCTCACTCATTAGCCTAACAGTTACTGAGTCCCTCTGACCTACCAGACGCTGTGCTAGGCGCTGGGAATAGGGAGACGTTGTCTTGTTTCTGGCTCCTGAGGAACTTAGAGAAGGATAAGCAAGCTAAGGTACCACAGACGAATATGCGTGGATGAGAAAAGGATTATTACACTCCACTGTGGCGAACACATTAGTAGAGGTATGAACAAAATACATGGGAGCACAAGAGAGGAGATCCAATTTGCTTTGGAGAATCAGGGAGGGCTTCATAGTAGAAGACACTAGAATCAAAAGCCTTCAGAGGATTCCTTCGTTGAACATCAGAGAGTGATTTTTTTTTAATATAAGCAATGGTGAATTCGATATGATTACATAATTGGTTTGAGCAAGCACCTCAAATTATGGCACCATGAGGTGCTTTTTTAAAAACAAATTTTTTTTCAAAAAGTTTTTTTTTTGTGGAAATTTCATAAACATTGCCTCACTGCCCACCGATGATGATATGCCAGCCTTGGCGAGGGAAAGCGGTGGAGAGAAATCCCCCTTCTGTAGATATCTTTCATTTTTGATTTCCCCACCAAGTTTAGTCTACAAGCAATGCTATAAAAAATACTTAGAATCCTCTACTTATTTGCACACAGAAAAATTGTGCATGAAGATTCAAGTGATTTTTGTCAGCTATCCTCTGAAATGTTACCTCAACAAGAAGTATTTGTTTTATAATAAAGACCATACCCTCCAGAAGAAGTATGTGCTTAGTTCTTATAGCGAGGTTGATCCATCAAAAATCTAATTCTTCTGATAAGGTATTATTAAGTAATTATTGTCCTTTTCCTTTCAAATGGAAAAAATAACTATGTTGTTAAATGTTTGAATTACATTTATGAAAACTTTATTTGCATATCATACATCATTTTGATAAAATTATAAATGTGTATGATATTTCACAAATTATACTTGTTATCAATAAGGAAGGAAGGTGGAAAGCACACCAAAAATTCATAGTATTGGGTTTAATATTAGCTTTTCCTGTTCTCTCGGGTTGTCAAGCTTTAGGAACTATAGTGAAAGACATTCTTTACACACACACACACACGTACATATATCAAGTGTGAACACCTCGGTCATGGCAAAAGCAACAGCAACAAGAAAGGGTGGATGAAGAAGAGTACATATATTTATATGTATGAACTATATAAAATCTATTTATATAAAATATATATGTCTATCTAGTTCGTGCCGATCCTTGTAATTGTAGACTTTGGGGGGGTCATGTGTCCTTCAGGGTCTGCATACTTGATTGTGGTGCTCGCTAGAGGCTCACTTCTTGGGGCTCAGGGGTTGCAAAGACAGAGCTTCTGGGATTGCGCTGGGTACCTGGGACAGCACCAGGCCTTGCTGGCTCCATACTTTCTTCTTTAAAAAAAATAAATTTTATTGGATCACTGTAAGATACAGTCACAAACTTATAATGATTATGTTTCAGTCATTCAGTGATCGAGCACCCATCCCTCCATCAGAGCACATTTTCCACCACCTTTGTTCCCAGTGTCCCTGAAGCCACCCTTCCCCTCACCCTTTATGGCAGGTACATTCCCTCCTACTCTCTCTCTCTAATTTTGGGAGTTATGATTTGCAATGCAGATACTGAGAGAACATCATGTTTGGTCCATAGTCTACTTTCAGCACACATCTCCCATCCCGAGCGATCCCTCCAAGCAGCATTTATGTAGTGGTTCCTTCTCCATTGCAACTGTGTTTTCCCCCCAGCACTTGGGATTGGCTTCCAAACCGTGGCATGATCCTCCTGGCCCTTATCTCTACTGTCCTTAAGTTAGTCTCCTGTTATGCTACTTTATCTTCCACAAATGAGTGCAGTCATTCTATGTCTATCCCTCTCTTTCTGACTAATTTCACTTAGCATGATACTCTCCACGTCCATCCACTTATATGCAAATTTCATGATTCCATCTCTTCTAACAGCAGCATAGTAGTCCATTATGTAGATGTACCAAAGTTTCTTTAACCATTTATCTGTTCTCCGGCACTTGGGATTTTTCCAGATTCTGGCTATTGTGAACAGTGCTGCAATAAACATGCAGGTGCAGATATCAAGGCTCCATACTTCCAAGGCAGACACTGTACCTCAAGCATTCCCAGTGCCTTCATTATATAATTTATTTTTGGACGCGCACTATTTCTGTCACCACATCTGCTTTTCACATGTATTTTTAGCCACGCTGCCACTACAATTCGTCAGGGTCACGGGACACACTGGAAAGGCTCAAGGAGCCCCTCTGCCTTCCAGCCTGACCCTTCTCACCTCTGCAGAGTTCTGCTCCCTTCCGATGTCAAACACATGGTCAGGGGCGGAGCCATAGGACGGCATGGAGAGCACCTGCCTTGCACGTGGCCGACACAGTTTGATCCTCCGCATCCCATATGGTCTACCATGGCCGCCAGGAGGAATTCCTGAGTGCAGAACCACCCCTGAACCCAACCCAAACCGAGCTCACTCTCATGCTGACTCTTGATGCTGCCTTAGTTGAGTGGCTCAGGAAACCCAAAGTTCTGTATTTTTAGGAGATTCTGCGGTAACCCATTTACATACCCTCATTGAAGTTCTGTGGTTCTAGGGATGACACAGGTTTCTACCAATCCACAATCCCTTCTGAGAATCATTCCGTGTTCAGACCTTCGGGGTCCCAAGGCACAAATAAGCGAGTCCTGAGCATTCAAAAGCCTCACCAAGAATGACTGTGTAGAATGAGCACTTCACCCCAAAAGCCAGGAGTCGGGGTCTTAATGCTTGAAATCTAATCCCCCTCCCTGGAAATTGAAATACTTAGGTATTGGGGAACAGTTTTTCCCCCAACATGCCCAGACACGTTGCACACTGGTTTGGCAGATGTGGGGCAAAGGGTGATGGGTGCCCGGAGAAACACCCTCCGGGAGTAGCTGGTGGCTGTTCACTTCATTGCCAAATACACACATATTTTATAGAGGGTCTCAGCTTACGACTGGACCTTAAGAAGGTCCAATCACATCAAGTTTAGCATCACTGGCCTATCAGCTTTCCTATTCTCCTTTGACCCGGTCCAATCGCAATCAAGGCTAAGTGTTGCAGTTAGGATGACCTGCTAAGCATATGTGACAGTTTCTGTGTCTTGGGTGCATGTGATGAAGAAGTTGAGTGAGGCTCAAGGCCAAACCCCCAGTCCTGACATCCTGTCCTTGCCAACTTTGGCCAGATACTCCCTTCTGCGGGGCCTCGCTTCAGGATCGCTCTGCAAGGTCGGGTCTTATCTGCTCCAGTGCCCGTCGCCAGGCTCCATACTTGGGGAGCGAGATGTTGGAAAGTGATGAGGACAAAAACAGAAAGGAGTTCACAAAGGCAGAAAAAAAAACAGGAGTGCACACAAATCCTTTAACCTTGGAACTGGAAATTACTAAATTCACTTTGAGGGTTGAGAAGGTATCTCTCTCCTTCATGCTTGGTCCTTGCTCCCTCTAGCCTCAGGCCTTCATGGAGTCCTGTGATGCCCCTTCCTCTCATTTGCTCTTTTTTTTTCTTTCTGGGTCACACCCGGCGATGCTCAGGGGTCACTCCTGGCTCTGCACTCAGGAATCACTCCTGGCGGTGCTCGGGGGACCCTATGGGATGCTGGGAATCGAACCCGGGTCGGCTGCGTGCAAGGCAAACGCCCTACCCGCTGTGCTATTGCTCCAGCCCCTCATTAGCTCTTTTGGGTTTGTTTTGGTTCTGTTTTTTGGATCACACTTTGGAGGTAGAGCAGTTTCTTTGCGGAAGCCCTCATTGACTTCTATACTGAAGGGTCTACCTGGAAAGTCAAATTACAATCAGAAACCATTTAAAAGTATTTTATAAAGTCTCCACTCCTTTAAAAAATATAAAATAAAGGAATGAATATAAACTAATTATCCTAGTTCAAAATTTAAGAGCTGGGGAGTAGAGAGACTGACTTTATCTAGTTCAGTGAGACGCTGAAAGTTTATAGCACACGATTAACATTCCTAAATACATGATATGGCCTTATCCCTTTACAACACATAAAGGAGTTGCTTTCTTCTTTTCTCACTTTTAACATGCAAAGAACACAACAGCCTCTCCGCTACTATTTACTGATTTGTTTTCTTGAACCTTTTATTTTGAAAGAGCCACATTTCATGGAAAAATTCATTCTTAGAACCCAAAGGTTCCCATCAAGATATGTGTCAGGGTGAAGATTACTATTAAACATTTTTTTTGAAAAGAGCTATTCAAATGCTGTTGGAGAATCTAGAAAAGTGATTTCTCAAAAAGAAACTCATCCTGAAGTTTGTTACAAGCATGGCTTAATATACAGTAGAACTTCCTCAGCTCAGATGATACTTATCCTATGTGTTTGATACCACAACTTGTACTTCTGATCTCACCAGTGATGACTTCACCAGAGGTTCCCAAACTGATTTGCCCTACTAACCCTCTTTCATAAAAACAAAACAAAACAAAAAACCCACATCACTTAGGGCCATCTGGAAATCTACCTTCTTCAAGTGGACAAACATAATGTGCCCGTCCCCCCAATTGTATCCAAGGCTATTTCTGCCTCTCTGGATTAATCTAGCACCACCTCCAGTGGATGATATTTCTGCTTTGGGAAACTCTGCAAGTCTAGATGCTGCCAAGTAACACTGGCATTCTAATAACACTGGCAGGATTTAACTCTGTTGTCACAGCTGCCA